GAATAAATAAATAAATGAGGGAGAAGAGAAAGCCTATCTTTACAGTGGAATGACAAATAATAAATATAGAAGAAATGATAGAGTTAGAAAATCATTAATAGGTGGTAAAACTAGTGGGTGAAATCTGATTAGGAAAAGGATATTTACATAGTCTCAAAGTATCTCCCCACAAATTGCTCATTAACTACAAAGAGAAAAATAAGAATTTTACAGTAGAGAAATCTGGCAGACACCACCTTAAGCAAGTGATCAAAGTTAACCAATACTGGGACAAAGAGACATCATGTATCTCCTGATATAATACACTGAGAAGCATACAGTTCTGTGATACTCCTCCTAAAAATGTACAATCTGAATCTAATTATAAGGAAACATCAGACAAACTCACACTGAAGGATGTTCTACAAAATAATTGGCCTATATTCTTCAAAAATATCATGGTGAAGAAAGAAATAGAAAGGCTGAGGAACTGTTCCAGATTAAAGGAGACTAAAGAGACATGACAACTAAATGCAGTTCATGATCCAGGATTGGATGACGGATCAGAACTTTAAAAAATAACTACGAAGGACATTTTTTAGATAAGTGATAAATTTGAATATGGACTATGGATTTGACAATAATATTCACTCAATGTTAATATTCCTGATTTTGAGAAAAGAGAATCATTGTACACTGTTGGTAGAACGAAAATCGATACAGCCATTATGGGAAACAGTATGGAGGTTCCTCAGAATATTAAAAGTAGAACTCTCATATGATCCAGCAATCCCACTTCTGGGTATACATCTAAAGGAAATGAAATCAGAACCTCGAAGAGATTTCTGCACTCCCATGTTCATTACAGCATTATTCACAACAGCCAACATATGGAAACCTGTGTCCATCTATAGATGAATAGATAAATAATATGTGGTATATATATACAACAGAATATTATTCAGCCATGAGAAAGAAGGAAATCCTGCTATTTGTGACAATATGGATGAACCTAGAAGATATTATGCTAAATGAAAGAAGGCAGACAGAGAAAGACAAATATTACATTACCTCACTTACATATGGAATCTAAAAAATTAAAAAGTCAAACTCATAGAAACAGAGAGTAGGATGAAATTTACCAAGCACTGGTGGTGGGATGTGGAGATGTCGGTCAAGGGGTACCAAGTTACAGTTACGTAGGATGAATAAATCCAGAGATCTAACATACAGGTATGGTGACTACAATTAATAATACTGTATTCAATACTGGAAATATGCTGAGAGAGTAAATATCAGGTGCTCTAACCACAAAAAAAGTGGTAACTATGTAAGGAGATGATATATTAATGAGCCTGACTATAGTAATCATCTTATTATGTATATGTATATCGAATCATCATGATGTACACCTTAAATATATACAGTTTTTATTAAAAAAAATAAATATATATATAATGCCCCGCAGGGACTCTGAGCCCCTTTGAGGGGTTCTAAAAAAGAATTTCAAAAGAATTCATGACACCAAAAAAAAAATTCCCATTTTTGATAATTACGGTGTAATTATATAAGAAAAGAGCCTTACTTCTTAAGAAGTATTGAAGTATTTAGTGGTAAAGGAACATGTCTCCAACTTACCTAAAATGGCTCAGAAAAAATTTATTTTTATATTTGTTTATATGTGTGTGTGTGTGTAGAGAATGCTAAAGCAAATGTAAACTGGTGTATCTAGATAAAGGCCATCCAGAAATTCCTGTACTACTCTTGAAACTTAAAAAATCCTATCAGAATATATTAGTGAATAATAATGTATTGTGTACTTGAAATTTGCTAAGAGAGTAGATCCCAGATGTTCTCACCACAAAAAACAAAAACATGGTAACAATGGGAAGGGATGGATAGTTGAATGGTTTGTGATAATCATGCCACAATGTATACATATATCAAATATCAAAACATCACGTTGTACACCTTAAATATATACAATTCTTATTTGTCAAAAAAAAAATAAAAATAGGGGCCAGCCCCATGGCCTAGTGGTTAAGTTCAGCACGCTCTGCTTCAGCCACCTGGGTTTGATTCCCAGGCGAGGACTTACACTACTTGTTGGCAGCCATGCTGTGGCAGTGACCCACATACAAAATAGAGGAAGACTGGCAGAGATGTTAGCTCAGGGCGAATCTTCTTCAGAAGAAAAAAATAATAAAAATAAATTATACTAAAATAAAAACTCACCCTCCACCTCACCCAAAATAACAAAATAAGTAAAGGCAAAAGAATTGCCTTGTTTATATTAGACACTGAACAAAACATTCTTGAAATAAGATGAAACATGACAGCAAATACAGTCAAAGGGTTGCATTTTAAAGCATTGTTCATTTTATACCTCAAGGTTTGATTTAAAAAGTCACCACCTTTACTTGAATTTTTAATACATATACATACATATAAGTTTACATGTTATATATATAATAATATATTTTAATATGGACTATGGATATATATCTAAAATGTCAGCTATAGAACAGATAGCAGAGTGGTTAGAGTGGGGCTCTGGACTCATAAGGACAGGTCCAGATTCCAGGACCATCATTTATTAGCTACCTAATCTTAGGCAGGTACTAAACCTCTCTATGCCTGAATTTTCTCATTTTTAAAATGCAGCCAATAATAGCTTCTAATTCTTAAGATTCTTATGAAGATTTCACAGAATAAAACGTGTAAAGAGCTTACACATTCAGCACATAGAAACAAATATCAAAGAAAATGATTCTTTAACCTAAAAGATAATGAACTGAATACCAAATCTCTTGAGATTGAGGTTATGACCTGCCCCATACCAGTAAAAACAAGGGGAAAAAAAGCTATGAGTCAAAGGGGACCAGCTCAGTGTTTAAACTAAAAATTAAAATGTAAATGAAACATAAAATTCCTCTTTACAACTAGATTATGATGTTAAAATATTTTTAGAACAATGTATTAAAGAATGATCTTGATTTGAAAGTGCCTTTGGTTCTGTTTAATTTACTCAAGTTTACGTTCAATAGGTGAGATTTAGATATTTTTTTAAAGCATCCTTAATGCCTGTTTGGATTTCCATAAAGAAGAACTACCTAACGCATGGACTCTGCAATTTGCAGAGTCACAGTTAATAGAATTTTATTTAGTAATTAAGGTATTGAAGGCAAGAAATCATAAATTCTGTCATGTATCAGAAGTCATAAACTCGAATGCCTACATAGGCCAGGTAGCGGAAACGGTCAGGTGTAAATCAACAGGGAAGACCTGAGACCACCGTGACTGGATCTGGAGAGGGAGTACTCCCCTACAGGCATTCAAATTCAAGTTCTGTTTTATTTTTTAAACCTTGCACCATAGGTGTTCAGGCTGAGTTCAGTTCAGAGGGGCACCTGTTTTGACCACTGAATTTCAGATTTTAAGTCCTTGAGATATTTATGATATATATTTGTATGCAAACGATGTTTTATAAAAGATATTAACAAAATAGAATCTTTCTGAGAATGAATACTTATGCACACCAAAAACATCAGGAAATGTTTCAATGACTTCCAAAAGACAGTCATATCATTAAAGATGTCCTAAGTTGGGTCTCTCTCTCTCTTTGTACGCATAATTAAGACATACTTTATACGTCAGAAATATATAACCTTTAAGTTTCCTTACAACTCTGACATTTTAAGATTCCATGATTGATGGAACAAAATTCTTTCATACTGTAATAAATACGTACCTATGAACTAATTTAACTATTACAAAAAAACCATTAAAAATTGTTGAATTCTGGGGCTGGCCCCGTGGCCGAGTGGTCAAGTTTGCGCGCTCCGCAGCAGGCGGCCCAGTGTTTCGTTGGTTCGAGTCCTGGGCGTGGACCTGGCACTGCTCATCAAACCACGCTGAGGCAGCGTCCCACATGCCACAACTGGAAGGACCCACAACAAAGAATATACAACTGTGTATTGGGGGGCTTTGGGGAGGAAAAGGAAAAAAATAAAATCTTAAAAAAAAAAATTGTTGAATTCATTCACACTGAAACATTTGGCTTAAATATTTTTTTGAGGAAGATTAGCCCTGAGCTAACTACTGCCAGTCCTCCTCTTTTTTGCTAAGAAAGCCTGGCCCTGAGCTAACATCCGTGCCCATCTTCCTCTACTTTATATGTGGGACGCCTACCACAGCATGGTGTGCCAAGCAATGCCATGTCCGTACCCAGGATCCAAACCGGTGAACCCTGGGCCGCCGAGAAGCGGAACGTGTGAATTTAACCGCTGCGCCACCAGTCTGGCCCCAGCAACTTTCATTTTTGACATGGTACCAAAGCAGCCTGTTATCTCACTGAAACACCTGTCAACAAGTTTTTTAAAAACTTTTCAAATAAAATAGCAACCCTGCCTTTATTAAACTCTTTCCAGATGTTCTCCAATAAGCATACTAGAAAAAGAGGGTACGTTAAGTGAATAATATCCAATGACCCCAAAATCCAAAGTAATCTCTCCTTCCACTGGATGCCCTAGACTTGTGTTATTATTGTTTTATCCTACTATATTTTGGTATGGTTTATCTTCTCTGATATACTTTAAACTACATTAGGGCAAAAAGCATGTCTTGTTCATATTTTACCCCATCAATAAGCATTTTGTGTTTGCACAGAAGGTGCTCATAAAGAAAAATCCAAAAGAAACCTACCATTTCTCAAGATAATGATGCTCTCACGTTAAACTCTTTTGAATTCTAAAATAGTTTTTTCATGATGAAAATTATTATGCTTTTATTTAAACATTCTCTACAATTCAGAGAAGTTCTCAGGATCCGTAGCTGGTTATGTCAGTATTTAAGCAATCATATTTTTAGAAAGATAAATACTGCAATAACTTTATAATCTTTTGATTTGAGAAAATATAACTTGAAGAATCTTACTTAAGCCTAAGCTGAGTTTTAAACATTTATTTGAGAGAAAGATGATACGTTTTTGGAAAGTATTCTTTACAATCATTGAGTCTTACCTGAGGATTCCACCCTGGATCTAATTTCTTAACCGCTGCGATATACTCCTGCATCGCTTGGCTGGGGCTCGAATCGCCAAGGGCTTTCCAGGCTTCCCTATAGAACAGAATACCCAAAATGACCTATCATTAACTACAAACAGCATATTTCTTTGTATGACTAAAAAAACCTGACATACACATTTTAAGGGTGTGGGGATACAGATATAATAAGTCTTGGACGAGTAGCCCTCTTTTTTTACATCTATGTTGGTCTACAGCAATAAAGTCCTTATCGTCTCACCAAAGGAGCTTTTTTAGACTTTTTTTCCTAATCACCCACCCTCATGAAATTTTAATAACATATATATTACATATCTGTTGAATTTGGGAAGACAATGAACTCACAGTATTATCTAAGATTTTATAACTCCCCAAAACCCAACTTTCAGCGTGGTTGAGAACAGACCAAGAAAAGCAGTTCCCATCTTACGAATTAACTGTGCTCATGGCATTTTGGTAATATGGAAATCAACCATCACACAGAACAATATTCCCTGGGAAAACACTTCAAATGTCTTATTTAGGATGTAAGAAACACACCTTCCCCTTCTGCTATCTCATCTACAAGCTGTTAGTAATGGATCCTGAGTCCTCAGGGAGGGAGTTCAAAAGTGAGGGTGGAGTGGTGAGAGCAGAGAGAAGAATACTAACGAGTAAGAAGGTAGAGACTTCCCGCAGTGTAAATACTAAGAGTAACATTTCAGTCCTGAGCCTGTTTCTGAGTCAGTCTTTTCTTCTCTTCTGCAAGATGCAAGGAGAGGCTCCTGTTGGGTTTTTCCCTGCCCATTCTTTCTACTTCCAACCAGGAAGCAGATCCACTGATCCAGTGTAAAACAGACCTCAGTCCCAGTTTCTTCACTACCCTCCTCCTCCTATGAGGAATATAACATCTTTCTGAGGTTTTCTAAATTTATATTTACTGAATCTCTTGACAGTTACTTGTATATATCCTAACACTTTACCCCTTTTCCAAACAGAGGAAATTTAACATCAAAACTATTATCTAAGTATCTAGACAATATTCAGATTTCCCTGATTTCCCAATAATGTCCTTTCTAGCTTCCTTCTCCCAGACCAGGGGCCAAACAAGATTCACACACAGCACTGAGTTTCATGTACCTTTAGCCCTTTTTTGTCATCCATGATATTGGTTTTTTTTAAGAGTCCAAACCAATTGTTTTATAAAATATCCCTTAATTTAGATTTGTCTGATTGTTTTCTCACTTACAGAATGTTCCTGCCAAAAATGATTAATCATGATTAGAACGAGGTAAACACCTTGGCAGGAAGCAGCAGACAGGTGACACGCCCTTTACGAGGCTCCACTTCAGGGGCACGTGGCATCAGTTTGTCCCACCATCAATGAGAACACTGAGGACTTGGCAAAAGCAGTATCTCCCATTTTCTTCTTTGTAATTAACAAGTAAACCGTGCGTCAGACTGTGTAAACATTGCTTCCCATTTAACAGTTTTAGCACCCATTGATTCTTGCCTGAATTATTACTACAGTGTAAAAATCTAAACTTTTTTAAATTGCTGAAAAAACAGGCAAGCACAGGAAAAAAATAATGAAGTTAGGAAATAAATTAAAACAAAAAACTCACAGTAAAAGTTCCATCAGGTATTCTCCACAACAGTAATTAAATGCCCGAGAACTATCTGTTATCACCAGCAAAGAGAGCTCGCCCCACAATGGAAACCAAAGCCCGGCTTCCTTCACGGAGCGCGCCCCACGCACACGAAACATCAGCGGAACTACACCGAGAGCTTAAGGACATAACCGATTTACATCCGGGTTCAAGCTCTGCGTCTCCTTACAGCCGGGTAACAAGCAGTTCCCAGACAGCTCGTCCGGGGGCCGCACTGTGAGCAACACTGCTCTAGAGTGTGAAGATAGGATCCATTTTCAGCATCGCTTCTATACTTTTAATTCCAGGGCTGACACTCCTAAGTCCTTCCTTCTAAACCTAAGGTTCCCTACTGTATGCAATTTCTCTTTTTCACTTAGACAAGCTAAGAGGAAATAAGGCCTCAAATGATAAAAGGGAACCTCTGAATTATAAGTAAAAAAATTGGAAGGGCATAATCTTTTTATGTATTCAGGAAAGAAGTGGACTCAGTATCTGTTTTTTTCCCCTCCTCTCAAGCGGTTATTATAAGTACTTCTTTACGGTGGTGTGGGTGGGGCAAGGAACAGAAGAGCATCAGAGCCGAGAAGATAAAATTGGGGCAGCGAGAAGAGCGCAAAGTGGGGGTTTACCCTGCTCTCCTCCCTTCAAATCCTCCTGGCCTTCTTCCAAAGACCCCTCCAGAGGGGAAATGTGGTGACCCATGAGGGGCCGAACGACAGGAAAGGAGAATCTCAAGCAACAGCTCTTACGGTCACTCTCCAGGAAGTTATACGTACGTAAGGAACGCACGTCATTGTGAACTACTTATGCACTAACATCATGGCAGAAGAATCCTTTAGGAGACTTAGCTAAAAGCGGATTCTTTTAATCTCTCTCCCAATTGCCTGTCATTAGCACAGTCTACAGCAGAGAGATTAATATAAAAATAATTCTTTAATCTGCTCACTACTTTCTAATTCCTAAACACCTAAATCATTTCCAGCGACCTCATTAGATTCCAAGAATTTCTTACCATTTTTGCTTCCCTTCAAAATCAAAGAAGCCTGGTTTAGGAGTATTGCAATTTCCAACTTTGACCTAAATGAAGGGGAGGAAAATCAAGAACTTATTTTTCAAAGAAATGCCAGAGAAACTTTTTATTTTCAAATTTATTAGGTATACTTAGTAACCATAGGTTAGAAAATATTTGCATCTATATAGAAAAACAAAATTTAACATTCTTTGCAAAAGCAAACAAACTTTAAATATAGGCTGCTTTCGCTTACTGCATAAAACAACTGTTATCTAATACTGTAACACATTAAAAAGTATGGGTGACAAAACACTTGCATTCCTACATTAGAAACTATTATATAAGACAAATTATAAACACAGATTGTGCAATCCTTATTACCATTTATAATATAGAAGAATTTTTAAACGTGCAATAAACAAGCTTTAAAGTACAGTTTATCAGAATCCATGATATTGTTTATTTACGCTGATTCTCATAACTCTATCAGCATTTTATATCTCCCAAATTCCAGGATAAAGCACACTACTCTTAAAGTGCCCCATTATGAAACTAATCAATATAAATTTAGATGCTGAAAGCCGTGCAAAAAAATTTCAAGGGTTTCTCAACAAAAATACAAATTCTAAATATTCCACAATCTTCTCCTCTTTGTGGCCAACACTTACTTTTAACCCTCAAATAACATTTGTAGTTAAATTATACAGTAATTATTTTCATTGTGTATAAGCATAAATGAAACTCACACAGTGCCGAATTCACCACATGGCCCATTCCCACTACCAGAAGCACCTGCGCTTCTGATGGGCTCCCCCAGCACTCGCTCTGTCTCTCTTGAGAGCACTTTCCACTTTTACCTTGTGTTAGAAAGTTTTGTGTAAAGCCTCACCTTTCTGTTAGAACACAGCCTCTAAGAAACCATTCTTAACTCACTCATCACACCTAATACAGTGTCTGACGTTAGGTAGTAAAAAATGTTTGTGGAATATAGAATGAATGTCAGGGACGTGTTCAGCAAAAAACCTATTTTCCCTAATGCTCAATCCCAGAGTCTGACCCCAATCTACTGCTCAGTAACCTTCCCACTACCTCCTATTACTCTGACACAGTTGAATTTTGCTAAAATCAAACAGATGCTCTACTCACTGCCTGGGGAATTTTTATTCTGAGTTTTGCTCATGTTACTCCCCTCACTTGAAAAACCTTCTTCGTCCCTCAGTTTCTCAAAATGCTACACCTCCTTTCAGTCCCACTCAAGGTTCAGACTCTAAGAACCCTTCGGTCTAGAACGAGCTCATTTATCTCTGAATTCGTAACAATTATCTCTATCACTTGCTTAGCAGTTAATCACATGGTCCTCTGGTCATTATTAAAATGCACATTTATACATAAGCAGCCCTGTTATGATAGGACAGAGGGAAGAAAGAGCGAGAGAGCAGGAGCTGCATTTCTTGAAGAATCGCCATAAACCCAAAGCTTCACATATGTGATGTCAGACGAGCCACACAACAATCCTGTTAGGTTTGCCATTACGAACTCATTTCATAAATGTGTATAGAAAAGCTGAGTAAGGTTGTCACAGCTCACACATTAGTAAATACTGAACTAGTAGTCAGGATTTGAATCCAGGACTGTCTAAAGTCTAACATTCCTTTACTATAGCACTCTGTTCTACATGCTATATAGAATCCAGGCTTCAGTTCTGGCATCTCTAAAATCACTTGAACTACTGGATTGTTAGAAATATGAAATGAGAGAACAGATTGGTGGTTACCAGGGGGAATGGGGGAGCGGGAGGGTGAAGAGTAAAAGGGCACATGTGTACAGTGACGGATGTTAATTAGATTTTGGGTGGTGAACACAATGTAGTCTTCACAAAAAAAAAAGAAATATGAAATGAAATCAACTATTAGACATCATTAAAAGAGTAGTTATTATTATTTTTGTTTTTTATCCAGATACCAGCCAGTGGCAGAAACAAATACTAATATCTACCCTCCATTTCTCCTACAGTAATAGAAGTCTCAGCCAGACACGGTTATCTAGCTAAACAGTACATGTGGCCGTGCCACTTCCGCCCAGATTCAGGGGACCGGATGTGTGTGAAATGATATAAATATGTTCCTTAAGAAGAAAGGGGGGCTTGTCCTTCCCTGTCCCTTTGCCTTGGCCAGAATATGCATGTGGTGATGGTGAGCCACCCCCAGCCATGGAAAGAGGATCTTAGGGCAGCAGTTCTCAACTCTTTGGTCTCGTGATCCCTTTACACTCTTAGAAATTGAGGACCCCAAAGAGCTTTTGTTTATGTGAGTTATATCCATAGATGTTTGCCACATTAGAAATTAAAAGACGTCTTAAAAATATGTATTAATCCATTAATAAACTCATTACATGTTAAATAAAATTTTATGAAAAATAACTACATATTCTAAAGCAAAAAAAATTTAGTGAGAAAAGTGACAGTTTTACATTTTGCAAATCTCTTTCATGTCCGCCTTAATAGAAGGCAGTTGTATTCTCATATCCACTTCTGCATTCAATCTATTGCAATATGTTGTTTTGGTTGAAGCAGATGAAGAAAATTCGGCTTCACAGAGATACGTTGTTGGAAAAGAAAGAAGCATTTTAGTAGTGTTTTCAGATAATTGTGGGATTTCTCTTTGATCCCACACCAACACTCAACAAGTGGCAGTTTCTTTAAGGTTAGTTGCAATGTGGAGTCTGAGGTCATATCAACGAATTTTCACACTGTTCCATTAAAATCCATTGGTCTGACTTGCACTTTGAATGGATCTTTGACCCACACGTAATTTGTACCATCATTCCATGCAATGTTTGGAAAATATGGTTCACTGCGTTATGCAGACCTTCCAAATGTTAACACATTTCATTATACAATAGAAAAGTTCACAAAATCATTAAAATCACCACTGATCTCAGCAAAAAAAGGATTTGAGTATTAGGAAGCTGTCAAGCTCAATGACAGATACATATTTTCCAAACTTCTAATTTTTGCTCAAATGCTCTCACTGGTAACAAATAGTGTCAGTTGTTTTCCTTAAAGTGACAGGCTCACTTCCTTTATTTTCAAGAAACTGTCTTTCAAATACTCAAATTTGAATAAGCATAGTTTATCTGTGAGTTCTATTAAGTAAAACGATGTTTCATGAAAAAAGTGGATAGCTCAGCTTGCAACTCAAAAATTACACAAGTGCTCTTTCTCAAAGTAGCCAACGTAATTCAGTGTGCAGAGGTGCTTTGTGTGGACCCATTTCATCACACATGATATTAAAAAGACTGTACTCAAGCCTTAATATTTAATTAAAAAAATCAATAATTTTTACTGCTTCATCAAAGACATTTTTAAGCGAAACCGGCTTTTTTTTTTAGTAGGTGGCAGTAAAATATCGGACTACTAGTACAGTTTGCTGCCACTGCCTTAATTCATGCCAAATGTATCAACAGTTTTGTCCACCACGACAGCACAGGAAAAAGGCAAATAGCGTCTTCATATAATTATGAAAACAATTTTGACCTTGTAGCTCCCCTGAGAAAGTCTCAGGGATTCTCAGGGGACTGTAGACCATAACTTGAGAACTGCTGCCTTGGGGCATGGCTGAGCTAAAGACAGAAAAAAACTAAAGCCCCTGGATTGTCTCATGAAGCAGAACCACCACCAGCCCCAGATCACCTGCCTCCTGACCATTATGTGAAATCAAAAGAAAAGTTCAGCAGCTGACCCTATATCCTGACACAGAAGCTTTCGTATTCCCAAATTCAAAGAAGAGTTCCGGATGCAGAAAAGACTGGAAAAATAAACCTACAGGATTTTAGGACCTCACAAGCAACATTTTCCAAATTATTAGATAATGAATCAGAAGCTAAAAAGGAGAATTATAAAATGTACCACTTTAACAGAGCATCTAAATTGTTCTCGCTCACGTATATATAACATACCTAGTGCCCTTGAAACAGAGTATTTCCACAAAGGTTGCTAATGGCAAATGCCACTGAATTAAGTGTCCCCAAGCTACAGGAGGAGGACACGCTGAGCATCCTCACTGGTGCTAGTGCTGAAGGCCCCCATAAAATGAAGCCAACAGGAGTGTGAAATTTTCATTGTCCGACAGTTTTCACAGACGTCAGTCAGTCATCTCTTGCTGGGAGAGTGCAGGCTAATGCACAAAGGACAAAAAAACCTGTTAATTGGTGTGATCTTTTGGACACATCACTAAAAGATGATTTTGGAGCCATAGGCTTATCTGAGACTAAAACAGCTATTATGTTAGGTAAGTTTAGGGCTCTGCCTGAGAAAATAAGGGCCATATCTCAGGTTATTTTTATCATCTTCCTGCTGACAACCTTACCTCATTCACCCTACAAAATAGGGTGCTATTCTGAAAACAAAATGCAATTATTTTATGACAAATTTTGATCCACCATGCAGGAATTACATTGAGCTTTCAACTTTATTATTTTCTCAAAGATGCTATTTTTAATATTGTCTCAGAATTCTATTAAAAATAGTTAGAAGAGATTGATGAAAACTGTGTCCCAATGTCATATCTAAGTAAGCACAATCGTATTCTCTAATAATGAGGAATTTTATTTCCAGTTACACAATATCTCTAAACACCCTAAAGTGAAGGTCTTGAAAAGCGGATGCACACGCCTCTTCCAGACTACCTGGATGAAGTGGGGATACTTGAGTTCACTGATAACTCAGAAATCAAATACTTAATGATGACACAAATATCAATAAATAAAGATATGTCCTAGAAAGAAAAAGAATGTTCTCTAGGGCATTTGGAGAAAATTAGTCTTATACTGCCCAGAGAATCATCAGTCAGACATGTTATGGGCCTTAGCACAACGCTCAATAAATTCTTGTTAAGTAATCGAAAGTCTCATTTTAATGCTATTAGGATAGGGTAAATGACCAAAGAGGAAATAGATGTCCAGAACTTTTGCAAGGAAGCAAATTCCAAGGCCAACTCAGAGGCAATTTTCATTCAACACTATGACTTAGACCATTTGAACCTAGAGCTGTGTCTCTCAGGTCACTTAACTAATATTCCTAACTGACATACACCAATCTCCAAAAGAAGGTTCGGCTCTATCCAGGATGGTATATTCGGTGAAGAATACAGAGGGACCTCACAACTATTAAAAAAAAAAATACAAGGGAAAATAGATACCAAGAGGCAAAAGAAAGGTTAAAAATTGTTTAATAAAATAAAACGGGCTATTACCCAGAACTTCATCACTTCCAGTTGGTCCAAAGAGCTGGAATTTTCCTGAACTGTCAATTAACTTTTGTCAGCAATTTTTCACGTGTTTAAATCTAGACTCCTCAAGTAACTGTAAGTCTCTTGAAGGCAAGTATCACGACCTTTAGCTTCTCTGCATCCCCTGTAGGCACCCAAATGTTTTGCACATAAAAGATGCTGGCTAAGTTATTTGTTGATTATGATAAAGCAATTACTTTTCCTTCTGGTACCCAACCCAATGACTCTTTGAATGATAAATATCTAATATGACATTATTATTATTATTTCCATATTTCCAGGTAAAGTTCAGCCTTAGACACTGAGTCAGGAACTACAATCTAGTTGCAGTTCTGATTTATCTGTATGACCTCAGGTAAGTTATCTACTCTCTTTGGGCTTCCCTTTCCTTTTCCGTAAAACAAGGAGACTAGTTCATCTGGAGTTTAGCACTCCAACATTTTTTATAATTGTATCTAAGAGACAGAAGCATACTCACCCAAAACATTAAGTTTAAGATATTTAGAGTTTAAAAATCACAATAATAAAAGTAATAATAATTTATTTTGTATTGCATCACCGTTTTTCTTACAATCATATTATTCTCCTAGATCTCAAAATATCTTTTCAACATTACCGCATTTACTTCCATACGACCCTTTGGTAAGAGTGAACGCTAAGTCTTACGTTATCATCCTCATTTTGTAAAGATGCTGAAGCTGGTAAAAGCACAAGTGCAAGGTCACTGAGCAAGTCAGAGAAGACAGAGAAAAACTGTCGTTCAGTGTCCAGCTAAACATCCCTCCCAGGACAGCTGACAGGTCCTCTCCAGGTCCTGAATGATGCCGATTCTCAGCAGACGATGAAAAACCAAAACACACACCAACTTCATTACACCTAGCCATTAACCAGGCACGCTGGTCAACAGTTTTTGGAGGAAAGAGGCCTCTGGTCGCTCTCCCGCACCCGCCCCTTCCGGGCGACTTTACCTGCTTGTACCTGGCGTACAGGTACAAGAGCTGCTCCCTGCTGGCCACCTGCATCAGGCCCTGGAGGTGCGCCGCAGCCTTCTCGAACAGCTCGGCCAGGCTCCTGGACGCCTCGAGCTCGGGACTCGGGAGGGACTCCACATCCCCGGAGTCGTCCCCCGAGCTCAGCTCTCCGCCGCTGTCGCCCGTGGTGGCCCCCGCGGGCAGCAAGGGCGAGGCCATGTGTCCGCCCTGGCCTCCTCGGGCGGGCAGAAGACCGGCTCGGGGCCGGCCCTCCGGGCTGGGTGAGCCCGAGCTCCACGCGACCCCGCGCTCCCTCGCTCCGCGCTCCCGCCGCCTCTCCCCGGCTCGCAGGGCAGCCTCCGCCGCCCGCCGCTCTGCCCCGCGGGCGCCGGTTCCTCGGCTCCCCCGGCCTAGCAGCGCGCTCGGGTCCCTCCGCCCGCCATGGGGTCGGGGCCGCGCGGCCGGAACGCCGGGAGGGCGGGCGCGGGGTAGGCCGGCGTGCGCGCGGGGCGGGGGCGCGCAGGAGCGGCGGGCGAGCGCGCGCCCGGGGCTACGCAGAGCCCGCGCGGCGGCGCCTCGGCGGGCACCCTCCTCTACCCGGGGCTCTGGGGCCCGCGCCTGGGGGACGCTGCTCGGAGAAACTGCCCTCGGCGGGAGTGCCCATTATCCTCCCATCGCAAAGACTCGTCCCAAACTCGGAACGCGTCCTCGGGAGGGGCCACCGGGCGGGGGAAGGAGGCCGTCTATTCGGCGGTGTAGCGATGGGAGCGGAGTCGCGGGAAACGTGCCGCGGAGGACTAAGGTTCCGCCTGCGCCCGCCTCCCGGGCTCCTGGGTCCCCAGACAGGCCTGGGCTCCCCGCTGGAGAGTTTGGCTCTAACTTGAATAATGGATGAAAAACTGGGAGATAGGCCGTCGCCGCCCAAACTGCGTGAGTGCTGGTCGAATCACTCCTCTCCGTGCTTGCGTTGCACACCTGCGGAACTCCCAGCAATCAGAGCACGGAGAACGGGCTTTCCGGGGACGCCCCCCAATCCCCTGCCCTTAGCAGGATTCTGCTTCCAGACTTCTAGACGGCAGCCTCCGAGTTCGGGCTTCGAAAGTCAGCCTTTGCCGCTGTGCTTTGCAGACCCTGGAAAGTGAAACCAAAACGTACAAAATAGTTCTGCCCTAAGGGAACTTACAAAACTATACAAAAACTATGATATGATTATAATGGTTAGCATTTCTTGAGTGGTTGTGTCCTAAGTGTTGTTAAAAACAACACTACTATATCATTTAGTACTCAAAACACTGTAACGAGCACCCTCAGAATGGTACCCAGAAAGATGTTCTACAGGTTGGTTATTGACGCTTTGGGGTCAGGCTTTAGACAGGTGGAAGAGCAGAAGGGTAGACAGGATGCGAGAACACTGAGAAAAGGCAGGAAGATGAAGCAGCTTGGATCAGGATTCGATAGACACTCCTTGTGTATCCAGAATGTGCCACTGTGAGTGTCTGCTCTCAAGGGACTCACAGCCCAGTCAAGGGATGCCTGATGAGCAAATTCTTGCGATTAAAAAGTGATGTTATTGAATCCCCCACTGTTTAAAGGACTTAATTCTTACTAGTTAAGGTAGGTGCAGTTATTTCTACTTTAGATGTTGGAAATCAGCACAGAGTGGTAAAGTAACTTGCCCAAGGTTGCACAGCTAAAAAGTAGCAAATCTGGGGCTGGCTCCGTGGCCGAGTGGTTAAGTTCGTGCAGCTCCTCTGCAGTGTCCGAGGGTTCGGATCCTGGGCGCGGACATGGCACCTCTCGTCAGGCCACGTTGAGGCGGCGTCCCACATTCCACAACTGGAAGGACCTGCAACTAATATATACTACCATGTACGGGCGGTGGGGGTGGGGGTGGGGGGAGGGGGGTTGGGAAGATAAAGCAGGAAAAAAAAAAGATTGGCAACAGTTGTTAGCTCAGGTGCCAATCTTAAAAAAAAAAGTAGCAAATCAAAGAAAAAGTCAAAATCGTAAGTTGTTTTGGTCAGAGGTTAGTTCGCACGTGGGCTGGTAATAGACAATCTGAAAGGGAAGGTGCACAGACCTTTATCTCTCTGTTTCTAGAATTTTTATTAGAAATGAGAATTGAATATCATCAGCAGCTTTTTAAGCAGCTCTGGAGATTATATTTTTTCTCCTTTAATCTTTTAAAGGAACTATTAATAAAGTTTCTCTTCTAATGAGTTATATTAATAATAATAAATGGAATTTAATGAATTATATTAACTAACTGATAAATGAATATAAATTTTAATGTATTATATTAATAGGTTTCCTAATTTTGAATGATACTTATATTCCTGGAATAAATCCATTCTTGTCCTGGCATGCTTTTTTTCTTTTTTTAAAATATTTCTAGGTTCAGTTTGCTATCGTTTTCGTTAGTATCTTTACAGCCCTATTAAAAGATGACATTGACCAATAGTTTTCCTTTTTGTTCTATCCTTTCTCAGCTTTGTGTCAGGGTAACAGTAGCCTTGTAAGATATATTTAGAAGTTTGCATCTTTTTCTGCGTTCTGTAACAGTTTAAATAAATGGGAATAGAGCAAGCAGAATTCGCTCACACTGCTGTTGGGAGTGTAAACCGTACAACCACTTTGGAAAAATGTTTGGCACTATCTGCTACAGCTGAACATGAGGTACAGCAATGCTACTCTGTCCAGCAGGAATGCATACGTGCGTTCACCAACGTGAGCGAGAACATTCACGGCAGCGTTGTTCCTAACCGCCCCGACCTGGAGGCTCCCAAAGGCCCATCGGCAGGGGAGTGGGGAGACTGTAGTGTGTTTACACCAGGGAACACTGTTCAGCAGCCAGCGTGAACTCAGCACGCTTACACGCTATGCATGGATGAATCTCATAAACGTGACGTAGGGCCCAGGAAGCTGACATGAAAGACCTCCTACTGTATGCTTCCACTCAAATAAAGCTCAAAATCAGGCAAAACTGATCCGTGGGGTTAGAAGTCCAGAGAGTGGGCAGCCTTTGGGGGTAGTGACCCGAAGGTGCATAAAGGGGGCTTCTGGATATTGGTGATGTTCTGTTTCTTGAGCGGAACGCTGGGTACACAGGTGTGTTCATTTTATGCAAATTCACTTAAAATTTATGTACTCTTCTGTATGTACATTAAATTTGAATGAAAAATTTAAAAATAGGTGAAAAAGAAAGAAAACAGAAGAGCGCCTGACGTTCAGAGGCTGGCCTGACGCTCGCAGCTCAGCCGTGTTATTCTCCTGTTGGATAGAAATAATCTCAGGAAACGCCGACCTCAGACAAGGTCACCCTGAAACCGTGATAAAATCAGACAAAGCAGAGCGCTCAGAAGTTCATCCAAGCACAGACAAAAACAAGATCACTCTGCCAACCACAAAATACCAAACACCCTTTCTCTTGGCCAAAGTGAATGACGACGACTTCCTTACAAATTCCAGCTTCGTTCTCATGCTAGTCTTCTCTCCCTCTAGGTAAGATTTATTGAGATGCCCAGTTGTGGAATTGCCCTGGCTTTCTGACAGCATCCAATGGAGAGCAAATTCCTGCTTCCTTAGACTGTTCCTCAAGTCACCAACCAAAGCCCAAATCCTATCATTGGCTCTTCCTTAATCCCTTCTTACCGGCACATCCCATCCTTGCCCATGGTACGTGTTCTTCCTCGCTGTGGCAGATAAATCCACCTAAGACATAATCTTCTATGAAACCCGCAGCCTTTCATCTAACACTTTAAGCTCATTAGGAAGACTCTAGGATATAGGCAGATAAGCAGGTAGAGAAAGATATTTGACTGTATTAGCTAATTTGCGTAATTTTGAAGTTCATTTAACCACCTTCGAAGAAAATAACCAGCAGAATTATGCCGAGTGCAAAAACAGGAATCACAGCAGTAAAATCAGAGCTCTGGCCGCGGAGTCTTTGTGAAACTTGCATAATGAGCAAAATTCATGAAGAAAAAGGTCACATCCTTGAGTTCTCAGGAGTAGTTAGATATTTCCTACTAAAAATGAAGGGAAGGGGCTGGCCCGGTGGCGGCACAGCAGTTAAGTGCACACGTTCCGCTTTGGGGGTCCAGGGTTCGCTCCTCCGGATCCCAGGTGTGGACATGGCTCCGCTTGGCAAAAGCCATACTGTGGTAGGTGTCCCATGTATAAAGTAGAGGAAGATGGGCACGGGTGTTAGCTCAGGGCCAGTCTTCCTCAGCAAATAGAGGAGAATGGGCAGCAGATGTTAGCTCAGGAATAATCTTCCTAAAAAATAAATAAATAAATAATAATAAATAAAAATTAAGGGAAAAAACATGATTAATTTTGAGGCCACCTCCGCAGAGGCTGTTTGATGATCGTGAACAGCCTAACTCAGCATAAGTAACCAAGGCTTCTAGGGGATGGATTTGTGGATTTAGAAAGACTGTATGGTAGAATCTTCTGTAACGCTATTTATCATTATATGGATACAAATATAAGGGTAAAGCCTATGCTACAAAGAAAAATAGGATTAAATAATAAAAGCCTTGCATACTCTTAGATATCAGCCCCGAAGAAGTTGCATTGTGTTATAATGACATCATCCTTGCTGTCAAGTACCTTCTGTGTTAGTTGAGAAACAATTTCAGGACCCATGAAACAATTAGAAAATCAAGTAAGACAGTAAAATTAAGTGCTAAACCTTGTGGTGCACATTGAAGTCAAATAATGATGGGATTTTTTTAGCTGGACACCCTCTCCGTAAAAGTCCTCCGTTGAGCCCCGTTATTTTTCCAGAAGAGGCCCTTTAAACATTGTGACTTGCATTAGGCCTTATGTTTAGCTGGACGACCGAGTGCATGTAACACCCTCTGGGCCTTTTATATCGACTAAAACACGCTGTGCTCAAAGTTCATTCAATGGAAAGGGAGCTGTTAGTCAATTGGCAGAAGCTAATATGAACTATTTGCAGGTGCATTACAAGCAAAGATCTTTAAGGAAAATATCCTTGAACTTGAAAGTAAGAAACAAAATTTTCTTATCCTTCTCAGTAATCTTTTTCAGCACACAGTTATTGGTTTGAAGAATAAAGGGGCCAGAAAACAAAAATGTAACTAACACATTGTTCCTTCATTAAATATAATTTCTTTATATGAAAAATGAGTTCTGTGAGTTTGAGCCTCCGGGTGGTTCAGGATTCCAGATGCCCATCATCTTGCTGGGTACTGGCTGAGTGGAAGTGTAATATACATATCGACCACATGATGGCGACATCGAGCCAGGTTTGTTTTCCACCAGGGCGACAGGCTTGCTCAATTATTTTCGTCCTTTGGGTCTTTATGCTTAGGAAAGACACAGACCTTGCGCGTCGCATGGCACAATGAATGGAACAATTGGTTATGTAATTATATATTTATTTTAAACGTAGCCAAATCCTAAC